TGACGACTCTATAAATTTTTACCACTCATGCCACAGCCACTACGCCATTCCAAATTCCTCAGGCTTGGCAGATGACTTCTGACAGTAAGAAATTGAGGCCCTTAATTACAGCATAGGGCACATAAATGCATCTTAATTTTTAAAAACAAAAATAAATAACAATCCCTTCCCTCACACCTGATATATCCTTTTTCCTTCCTTATAGGCCCTTGGATGAGGTAGATCCTTCTCCTGGATTCTCAACTCTCGTCCACCTTGCCCAGGTTATGCTTTACCAGGACCCCATGGCTATCTCCCTCTACCTCATCCTCTATGGTCAAAGTGTATAGCTAAATTTCCAACTATTGTTTATTTACCTATTTTTTCTTTAACCTGATTATTTTTAATCTATTATTTTTAGATATACATGGCAGTAGAGTGTATTTTGACATATTGTACATACATGGGGTATAACTTCCCATTCTTGTGGTTGTACCTGACGTGCAGTTACACTGGTTGTGTATTCATATATGAAAATGAAAAGTTATGTCTGATTCATTCTACTGTCTTTCCTACTCTCATCGCCCCTCTCTTCCCTTCACTCCCTTTTGTCTAGTTTTCCCTCCCCCTACCTTATTGTGTGTTAGTATCCTTATTACCTTTTGTCTTTTTTATATTTATTTTTCAGTTTTCAGTGGACACAACATCTTTATTTTTATTTTATGTGGTGCTGAGGATCGAACCCAGCACCCCGCGCATGCCAGGCAAGTGCGCTACCGCTTGAGCCACATCCCCAGCCCTACCTTTTGTCTTTAATGACGCAGTACACAATCTCTCAGTGAATGTTCATTTTGCACTTGAAAAAGAATGTACCCTGCAGTGGTTAGATGTGGTGTTTTATAGATGTCAATTAAGTTATTAAGAATTTTGGTAGAGCTACTCATTTTCCTATGATTTCAGATTTTTTGTGCCTCATTGTTCTCTCAATTTCTGAAAGGGTTAAAATCTTTAATTATGACTCTGGATTTGTTTGTTTCTCTCTATAATTCTGTCAGTTTTTGCTTCATTCAGTTTTAAGGCTGGTATTAGGTGCTTATGTACTTAGATGTGACATAGGTCACATCCTGAGGTGCTTGACTTGTCAATATGAAATGACTCTTTTTTACCTCTAGTAATAATCCCTGTCTTGAAGTCGATTTTGTCTGATATTAACATAGTCACTCTTGCTTTCTTATGCAGCTTGCATAGGGTATATATTTTAATCTTTTTACCTTCAGTCAACCTGGAATTCTGTATGTTTTTAAAGTACTTCCCTTTCAGATAGCATATAGTTGAGTCTTGCTTTTCTATCAATCCTGAAAGTATTTTCCTTTTAATTGGAATATTTATTCTACTCACATTTAATATGATTATTAAAATGGTTGGGTTTAGGTCTTCTATTTTATATTTGCTCTCTATTTTTCTGCTTTTTAGTTCCTCCTTGCCATCTCTCTTTTCTGATAATCAAATGTATTTTTAGTATTCTATATTAATTCCTCAACAGGAATTTAGCTATTTTATCTTTCCTTTCTAAAAAAAATGTGACTAAATATGCATGTTTAACTTATCATGAATTACATACAGCTAATACTGTATTATTTTAAACTCCCCATTCTTTGTGTAATGTTGTTAATCTGTTTTAAATCCCCAAATATAGTAGCATAATTTTTGCTTTAAACAGTTATATCTGCTTTTTTATTTACACACATATTTATCATTTCCAGTGCTTATCATTTTTATTTGTAGATGCAAGTTACTATCTAGAATTTCTTATTAGTCTGAAAAATATTTCCATACTATTTTTTTTGTAGTGCAGATTTCATGATCATTAGCTAAGTTCTTATTTATTTGCATATGTCATTTCTTCACCCACCTTATTCTATTTGCCAGATACAGAATTCCAGGTTGACAGTTTGTCTTTTAACACTGTAAGAGGGATTTTCATTGTATCCATTATATTACTTATGATGAAGAGTCAGGCATCATATATGTTGTTCTTTATATGTAATATGACATTTTTTCTTACTGCTTTTGAAATTCTGCCTCTGGAGTTCTACTGATGAATTATACTGTGCCTATGGATGGTTTTCTTTGTGTATAGCCTGCTTGAGTGTTTTGGACCTGAAAGTTTGTTTTGTCTACAAATTTGGAAAGTTTTGATCATTATCTCTTCAAATAAATTTTCTACCCATATCTATTTTCCTTCTGGAATTCCAATTATGCCAATGACAGATTACTTGATGTTGTCCTCTTAGACTCTGAGTCTCTATTTTAAAAAATATTTTCCTTTCCATTTTCAGATTAAATAATCCCTGCTGTTCTGTCTTCTAATTCACTTACTCTTTCTTCTTTTGTTTCCAATCTACTGTTAAGCATCTCCAACAAAATTTTAAACTTAGTTATTTATTTTTCATCTCTAGAACATCTCTTTGGTTCTTTAAAAACAGTTTCTTCTGTGGAGAGTCCCTCATCTGCTCATTCATTGTGAATACTGTAAGTCCCTGAATACATTTTTAATAGCTGCTTTATGAACTCGACTGCTAATTGCATCATCAAAAGGTCTGTTTCTATTGACTTTGTATATCTTCATTACAGCTCATGTTTTCCTAACTCTTCAAATGCCTAGTGATTTTTAAATTCTATTTTGGCCATTTGGACATACTGTAGAGTCTCTTGATTCTGACAGTCTTTCTGAAGAATGACTTTTATATAGTAAAAAAAAAAAAAAATGACTTGGCTAGATCCATCCACTGTTACCCTTGCAGTAAAGAGAAGCTGAAGTTTCTTCTCAGTTCTTCTAGCTTCCAGAGGATTTTTTTTTATTTAGTCACACTCACTGGGTTCCCCCTACATGTGTAGTTTTGTAGTTCGTCAGGAATGGGCAGAATTCATACATAATTTATGGGGCTCACCGGGTCAGAGTCTCCTTCCCTTTTAGGGTTTCCTTCCTTACTGTCCAGCTTCTCCACCAGCACTGCGTTCTCTGTTTTGACATCACAGACTGTGTAGACTGAAGGGGACCCTCGGGGGGCTTAACTTCAGCTACTGTTTTTCAGCTCTAATATTTTCATTAATTTTTTTAAAAAAAACAGATATCAGTAATCTGAAGACATTCTCGACCTTTTCCTCTCTTTTCTTGATCATATTAATCATAGTTATTTTAAAGTAGCTACCTTATAACTTTAGAATATAGATTACCTGTTTCTGTTGTCTGTTTTTCTTCCATATTTCTGGCCATTTGTTCATTACCTGGTATTTTTGAATGCCAAAATATTTTTCACGAAAAATTACAGAAGCTCTTAAGAAAGGGTTTGTCTTCCAGAAGGCCGATGGAGAATGAGCCAAGCACTGCTATAGCTGAAGACAGACTTCAGTGTTTGTGAGGGCTGTCTTATTTCTGGGTTGTCCTTACTCCTAGAGTGTCCTAATTGAAACCATAAGAGTATTTACCAAGGTCCCTTCCGTTTGGCATATCCTGAACTCCAATCTCTGTCTCCCTGCATCACAAGATGATCAGAATCTCTGCTTGGCTTCTAAGAAATTGTTTCACATTAATTTTTTTGGCATCTCATCCAGAACATATGCATCTTCACAGCAGGCAATTACACAAAGTCCGTTAGATTTCTCTGTGATTCCCTATTCTCTAGAATTTGGGCCTCTTTAGACCCTGACAGTTTGGAAGCCCCTAACCCTAATTCTGTTACCCAAATCCAATGAGGCTGTGAAAATCCTGGCCCCCAAGGTGGGGTGGGGACTAGGGTGAATGTGGGACTCATCTCAATGTCCTTCCCCTTGAGATCTTATTCCATTATGTGTGTTTTCTATCTAGTTTGTCGTATGAGAACTTAAACTAGCTTTTACTAATTTTCCAGGGTTTAAAGTTAATTTGGGGGGTAGGGTTAGACTAATACTATCTTATCTCATTATAGCCAGAAGCAAAAGTCATCCTTGCTAACTGGTTTTTAGAGGAATCTCTTGCTAAATTTTATTAACCATATATGGTACTGAGACACTGGTCCAAAAAGTACTTTTAACTATTTTTTCATAGTATTTGTGAAGTAATGAACCAACAGTAACAACTTCCCAGAGGATAGCCATGCATACAGGCGATCACTGCTGTCATAACCAGTACTAACTGGTTTCCACATAAATAGTCTCAGCAGAAAGTTTATTTAGTGACAATTAAGAATTGGGTTTACAACTGTTAGGCTATTCAATATCAAAAGGTTCTTAAAGAATAGTGGGAGAATCTTTATTATTCAATGACCTTAGTAGAAACAAGGTAAAAATATTTAAACTCAACATTCTGTGTTTGAGGCAGTTTAAAGGATTCATGTTGAAAATTTTGAATTTATGAATTGGTAATCATTATCATACATAAGAACAAATAAAACTATGACTTAGTCTTTGAAAAATGCATGAGCAAGCAAATTATTCTTATACTAATTAACTTTATAGAAGAAAGTATAATTATATAACACAGGATTTAATAACTGACAGCCAATAACTTGGAGTCCCAACTGGCTCTATCCTTTATCACCCAGTCTAAACAATATCACAACCTTCTCACTGTTTTGTACAGACAGGAAAAGGACAAGGTCTCTTGTACCTTAAAAAAAAAAAGTCCTTTTTAAAAAAAGCACACATACATATGTGCCATAACCAATTCTTTTATATGTATTCTCTTAAGCTCTTGGTTAATGCTAGTTCCTTCTATTTTGGTTTATACCAAATTACTCAGAATTTATGGTAATATAGTCAATCAAATATGTGTAACCCACAAAGATAAATTATGTACTAGCCCTTTAATAAAAGGGGTATTTTCCCAATTGAGAAGTATGTTTATGGTATTTTACTTTTTAATATCTCTGATGAAGAGTGAAAGGAGGGAACAAAAAAGGAGGTAAAAGGAGAGAAAGGTAAAAGAAGAATGTTTCAGAAGAAGGAAAGCTTCAAATCACTGTGTTTGTTGGTAGACTCACCCCACGTGGCTGGGGCCTTGAGGTCTGCATCGTGCACTTGAACAGTGCTGGCCTGCACTGGTTTCTGAAGGTCCTCGTTGATTACAGTCCCCTTCGTGGGGTTACATGTTTCGAATGAGGGAGAGACATACAGTGTCTCTATAGAGGACTGATTATAGGAAGTAGAATCTGACTGTGATATCCTTAAATCGGAACTGATAAACTCTTCTTTACTCGATGACCAAAATGCTGGTAAAGTTGTCAATGTTTCAAAACTTTCTGAGGCTGCCTGCCTTTTCTGCAGTGTTTGCAAGGGGTTTTTGGCTACAGTATCTGTAATGGTATTCTCTGATTTCTTGTCCAAACTCACATTTGTCTGCAGAGATGGGCTTTTTTCTGAAGGAGTAGGTACAGCATCTATAAAAGTAACAAATAAGAACCATAATTAAAAAATAAAACTGAAAATATTCTATTTCAGATCCATTGCAATTTTAATAAATAGGGGTTTTAATGCCCCAACAGACTTCTTCCCTATTTAGTCCTTCTGTTTTCTTACTATGCTTCTATATTCTATTTAAAGCACATCCAAGCTATAATTGATGCCTTAGTCATTTGGTGGCTGCCTTCTCCCTCTCCTCACTAAAACACAAGGCAAGGAGAGCTTCAAATAACTTGTCTTTAAATATTTCTCCCTTCACCCACTTATCTGTCTCTGAAACCACCATATTTTTGGTACCTTCAAACTTTCATTTTTTTATAAGATAAACTAGTGAAAATTTTGCCTCATCTTACTGGTCTATTCTTAAAGAACCCTTGACTACAAAAAAGCATTTTCCTGGGGCTGGGGCTGTGGCTCAGTGGTAGAGCGTTTACCTAGCACATGCAGGACCCTGGGTTAGATCCTCAGCATCACATAAAAATAAATAAACAAAATAAAGGTATTTGTCCATCTACAACTAAACAAACAACAAAAAAATTTTTTAAAAAAGGCGACTTTTCCCCTGGAATAAGAACATCTTCTTCCCCTTGTGTCTACAGGAGACCCATTAAAGAAACTCAGCACTTTAGGTAGGAACATAATTTTAATAAATCCTTTGTCCATGTGGAAGAAAAGATCTTTCAGAAGTGTTGTGACAATTACTAAAATGTAAGTTCTGCAAGATCAGAAATATATTCCACAAAGCACCTAGAACAGAGTCTGAAATATGACAGACACATGCTATTGATTACAAATAGAAGAGACTAAAGGGGTTATAAGAAACTAAAACTTAAAGTAGACCTGATGGAAGAATGACTACAGAATCTATTCAGAGGTGACCTGAATATCTAGATGCAAACTGTTATCTTGCTCTCAAACAATTTCATCTGTACCTAGGTAAGAAAGAAAATTATTTAGAACAGACTGAGTTCATGAAATTAGAAGCAAAACTAGGTGAGAGAGGGCAAAAGGAAGACTATATCATTTGAAGATCCCAGAAGGGAAGAGGATGCAGAAACGGTGTAGTCACTTTGAGTGATGGTGTCTCACGCTGTACGCTGCCACACACTTCATGATGCACATGACAGGCTCTCATCTTCACTTTCTGGCTCTGGGCTAATAACCTTTTCTTTGATACTAAAATCCTTTCCTCCCATTTTCACCATTTTGGAGGCTAGGAAAATGCTGCTGGTATATCCAAGATTTAGACAATTCAAGGAACTTACTACTACCTCCACTAGGAATTCCTTTCTTTTTTCCCAATCTTTCTATTCTTTAAAACTTTCTCTGCAAAGCTTGTCCTGCTCCTTTTCTTCCTTGCCCCATCTTGTTGTTGATCTTACCATATTGTGTTCAGACTCTGTAATGAGAATACTTTACTCATTAAAAGTCTTGCCCCACCTGACAACAGACTCCTTGACAAGATCTTACAGAGGCTGTCTTTGTATTCCAGCACCTCACAGTGGCAGTCCTAGAGGAAGTACTTAATGGTGTTGAGTGAAAGGAAAGACTGAGTCACAAGAATTAAAGCAAAAGCAATGCCTTTGTTTTTTTCTTTTTTGGAATCCAGAGGCACTTTGCAACTTGTCAGTCCCCAGACTTTTCATTTTTTATTTGGAGACAAGGTCTCACTAAGTTGCTTAGAGCCCCACTTAGTTGCTGAAGCTGGTCTTGGACTTGTGATCTTCCTGCCTCGGCCTTCTGAGTTGCTAGGATTACAGGTGTGCACCACTGCACCTGGCATTCCTTTGTTTTTCTAAATTGAATATGGCTTAATGTCTTAATAATGATTAAAGGAAACAGAAAATTGGTAGATAAAAATAACCTCTTCTAAAATATTCCTAATTTGCATATGGCCCAGTTCTATTGAGTTGGTAAAAGGTTCTGTTAAAAATACTAATAAGTCTCTAGTAGGAAATTAGATTTATGGGATTCCAAAGTGCATGCCACTATATTTATATAAAAGCATTCTTTAAAGGTGAATTTCCATTAAACACTTTCCATTGAATTTCATTTTACATATGACAAAAAAGCCTAGTTATATATGTAATAAAGTCATCTTAAAATTTAGCAATATGTAAACTAGGACAATTCAGAATGACAGTGACTTTCTGATAAAAATAAGAATGCTGATTCTAAATCTCAAAACTGGGGTGTATAAAAGTGTCAACGGTAATAGCTGGCTATTTTAATGTTAAGTACAAAACTTTTTAACTGAACAAAACCTTAAAATTCAATGAAACAAATTGACTAGAGTCATTGTGTTTCTCTCAAGCCCCCTTACCCAACAGTCCAGGAGAAATAGACTGCAATCTTTCCAGTTGCTTAGAGTTCTGTTAAAAATGATAATTTTTAAAAGAAATCAAATACTAATTGGTAATGATTTTAAAATGAATATCTCAAGGAGAAAAAGTTTTCTTAAATAGAAAGCTGAAGAGTCCTGAAGATTCCAGAAAATAGATTGTACAGGGCTTCTCTGCCACCAGCCTTCTTGTTCCCTCCCTGCTCATTCTATGCAACATGCCAAATTAGTTATTTATAGTTTATATTCAAAAGTCCTGCAAAAATTCCCACTTGTGTCAGTGACAAAATCCACGTTCCTTGGGTTTTAAAGGCTAGCCATTGCTTATTTGCTATTGCTACTCAACAGGGGACAGTCTACAGCCCACTCTCTTCCTTACTTACATACCCCATGTGCTTCTGGTCCCTTCGCTTCATCCTACCTGGTTACACAGGTCTCTGATTTCCATCACCAGGGACTTCTGCACAGCTTACACTGGAACATGCTCCTCTCCCCACATTATTTAAAGCCTATCAATCACACAAGGACCATTTCAAACAAGTACTACCTACCAACAGTCTACCACTCCATCCTAATCCTCCCCTTTTCTGAAATTATCAAGTACTTATTTCTATAAACTCATTTTTTGACTTAATTATATATACGCCATATAGTGTCCATCACACATCACAGTTCTTGCACTCTTACTTTATAGCTTGCATCATGCTTTTGCATAGAGGAGGAATGTAACTATTCAGTTTAACTTAATTAGTGAATACGTAATTTATGTACTGTTGGCTTTATATGTTGATTCTGTGCACATCAATGTATACTGCATATGAATCTGAAAATACAAATGATCAGTCAAGAAACACTTATTGGTACCTACTATTCACACTAGGATGTATTGATACTCTGGAGAGATATGCAAATAGAAGTTTTAATTCCTATCGTCAATGAATTTAAGACCAAGTGAGGCTTATATAGATAGATGCATAGACAAATACATATATACCCATGTTTTCATGTCTTAAATATGTACTCACACAAATATATGTGTAATAAGCACATGTAAATAACTAATAATATGAATTAACAAGTTCAGTTTTACAATGTCTAGAAGATTTCAGTTTCCCAATAAATGAATAAACAAAGAGAATATACTTGTACAACATAGCAATTTGAATATGTCTTAGTTCAGTCCCCCAAACCTGACAGAATCTAAAAAAGAATTTGACAAATCTCACTCATATTTGGAGATATTAACACCTTTCTCTCAGTGACTGATAAAACAGGTAGACAAAACATCAGAAGGGCTCTGGAAGAATTAACATTGTCAACCACCTTGACCTAATGGACATTTACAAAGCACCACACCAACTATGGCATGAAATACTTTTTTTTTTTTTAAAAGTTTGCAAGTCCACATGATTTGTCCAATAAGATAGGCCGTGTACTAGGCCATAAGTCTCCATAAGCTTTAAAAGTCTGAAGTCATATATTTAATTCTCTGGTCACATAAAGCTGAATTAGAAATAACTAACAATATGCCTAGAAGAAACTCTAAATATTTAGAAACTTAGAAAACATACTTCACATATCCATAGGTTAAAGAAGAAATTTATACACTTTAAATACATGTAACTTCCTGAATGACAATTATACCCCAATAAAGTGCTACACCCTTGGGCTGGGGTTGTGGCTCAGTGGTAGAGTGCTCACCTTTGCACATGTAAGGCCCTGGGTTCGATCCTCAGTACCTTATAAACAAATAAATAAGTAAATAAATAAAGGTATTGTGCCCAACTACCACTACAAAAAATAAATATATATATTTTTTAAATGACAATTATACCCTAATAAAGCATTAAACCCATGATTTTGGCTGATACAGTGCCTTAGGAAAATTGCTATCTATCTATACAAAATGCTGAGGGGCTGGGGAGAACAGAAATAAGGAAACCAACTAGGAGACCAGTGAAATATTTCATTTTTAGGTTAATTAAATACCAAAACAAATATTGAACTACAAATTTAGGCACTGTGTTAGGCTTAGAGGTACAAAGATGTGTACGAGGTTCAGGGAAGCCTTCTGAAAGCAGTGATATCTGAGGTGAGTGAGAAGGATGAGGAGAAAGATGGAAGGTGCCCGAGTAAAGGGAACAGCTTTGGCTAGGAAATGAAGCCTCTGAACACTGCCCTGTGTGGGCACAAACCCTTTAGTGTTACAGTGCAGTGTATGTGGCAGGGAGTGCAGGAGCTGCAGCTGCAGGCCTGTGGGCCTCCTGCCTGGGGCAGGCATGGGAAGGGAGAGTGGAGTTGCCATCTTAAGACTCTTTAAAACTCGTTGCTCTTAGATGCCTTGACTGAACCCGGTCTCCTTTCTAAGCAATCTTCTTTCCTGCCCCTCTTTCCTTTGAAATATGGACAGTCCATCGTTGATTCTTTTCTCTTCTGCCTCTACAACCTCCCACGATGACACTATTACCATACTTGAACTGTAACTAGGACTATTACCTGTATGCGAGTAATCCACACATTGAATCCCCGGCCCTGACTTTGAGTTCTAGCCACAAGTAACTTCCTATTGTTCTACACAGGGAGGTCTTACCATCATTTAGCCTCCTAATCCTTGGGTGTTTGCTTTACCCCTATTAA